TCATAAATAATTATAACTATTTATATTTAATATTTAAATATAATATAATAGTTAATAATCTTTTAATAATAATTTTTGAATTATTTATATCTATTATTTCTTAAAGTAATATAAATTTAATATATAAAAAGTAGAAATTCTAGTTAAAAAGAGAAAAAAATAAGTAAATATAATTTTAATTAGTATGATATAAGAATTAAAATAATATATATTATTATAATACAAATAATATAAATTAAATATTATAAAATACTTTAAATTATATATATTAAATCAAGAATATTAATCAAATAAAGTAATTAGAAGTAATCAAAAGTAATTAAATAATTAATAACTAATAAAATAAATAAATTATATATACAGTAACTCTCTTTATAGTAGAAATATAAAATCTAATAGTTTTCTATATTATAATAAGCTATACACAAAAAAAATCTCATTATATTATATATTTTAATAATATATTATGTGACATATACTATAGTGAATTTAATTAAAAAATAATTTATTTTATATTAATATACAAGAAAAAGTAATAAAAGTTTAAGTTAAAAAAAAAAGATAAATGCTATAACTTTACTGAAGTATTAAATAATATTAGATTAGCACTTATTTTTAATATTATTTTAAAAAATTTGATTCTTTAAACTATTTAATATTTTTATAGTCACAAAATTAACTCTTCCAAGATTATTATATTATAAATATTTTATTATATTCACTAATTCTTTCAAAATATCCTTTATTTTTATTAAGAATTCAGACTCTTTATTATTTTCTGGCTCTTAAGTATCTTTACTATTTATGAACTTGATAATTTTCTTATTTATTATTTATTTCTTACTCACAATTTGATTATCAATTAGAATATACTCTTTTACAGTTATAAAATCAGAAATATATAGTATTTGATTAATAAGAACTATAAATTCTTATTCAGCTTTAGTATTATTAAAGAGTAGATCAACTATTACTAGATCATTATCTCAAGTTATAGAAGAAGAAAGTATACCTATATGATATCAACTATTTTTGATCATAGTTTATATTACAGAATTCTAGATGATAGCAGAAAATTCAATTGTATCTTGAATGATAAGTGAACTTGAAGTAGAAAATTCAAAAGTAATAAGTTCATAAGTTTCAAGTTAATTTTAATATAAGATTCATTAATAATATATCTGATAATAAGTAAAATATAATTTTTATAATATATATAACAAGAAATATTTAAATAGAAAAAATATACAGAGTGATGATAATACTAATTATAATATCTTTAAGTTATAAATAATTTCTTAATCTATTAACTTTAAATATAATATTATATTAGAAGAAAAAAAGTAAACTCAAATATTAGAAAGGGTTTCAAGATTTTCTATCTCATAATATTTAATATTATTCATTAAAAAAAGAATATGTCAATTTACTTTATATATTATACTATTAAGTTAGTTAAGATAATAAACAAAGACTAATCTTTATATCTAAGCCTTATTATTGAAGTAATATTATATAGAAAGAGTATTTTTATCAATTTCTCAAAAAGCAATTGGAATTTTATATTTATAAATAAATAGTAAAGATAATTTTTCTTTTGTTAAACTGTATGTTATCATAATACTAATATAATTTTTAAATATATTCTTTTCAGCTATAGATCTATAAGTAAGAGTTTAACTTGGCTCAAGTTTCTAAAAAAAATGCTATCTTATCATAATTAAAGATATTTTTTGAAGAATACTCATAAAGAATCTCTTGTAATTCTATTTGAAATCATGAAATTTCTTTAATTAAGACACTTACTAATTCTTTTCTTTATTTATATGAGCTAAGTTTATTTTATTTTTTAAACTTTACAAATTATCTATTAGAAATATTAAAGACTTGAATACTAAATCTTTCAATAAATCATTTTACTTTTTCTTGAACAATATATTCTTATAATATAAGTTCTTGAGCAATAACTTGATCAACTTAAATTATTATCACTTCTTTAATTTCAAAAAAGATGCTTTTTTGATCATGTTTAAATTTAATAACAGTTGATTTTAATTCAAGATATAGCTAATATAAAGATTTTTTAAGAATTTTAAAGATAGCTTGCTTACTAATTCCAAAGTTTTTTACTAGTTTTCAGTCTTTTATTAAGAGAAAATTTCTTTTTTTCACATAATTCTCTTTTTTTGAAAAATAATTTTGTATTATTATCTTTTATTATTAATAAATAATTTTATATATTATCTAAAATAATAGAAACTCTTGCATTATCATAATTTTCTTAGTTCTTTATAACAAGTAATAGTTCTTGCTTTATTATTTTTTATCAATTACATATTTTATTTTAGTTAAGATAACATATTTTGAATATTTCTTGATTATCTTTATCTTTAAACTGTAAGAAAGCCATATTAATAATCTATTTATTCATAATAAAGAAGAAAAAATTTTTTTGTTTTAATCTAACTAATCATTATTCCTTCATTATATTAAATAAAAATCTAAAATATAGTAATTTTATACTATATATACTATATAAAGATATTCTAGATTATAATTAATCATATTTTCTCTACTAATGGAAATTTATATAGTTTCTATATAAATATATTATATAAAACTAGTTTAATTAAAAGAAAAAAAAGTTTCTAATATTTCTTTATAATATTTGAAATTTATTATAGTAAAGATCTACTATAAAGAGAGCTATTATATAAATCATTAGCTATTATTATCATAATTAAGAAATTTATAATAAATAAGATACTATTACTTAAAAATTATATTAAATTAAAATAATAAATATTCAATAAAATATATATAAATTATTAATTAAATATTTCATAAATAAAAAATATTTTAAATCTAATATCTAATATACTTTAAAATTTTTAATTAATAAAAATCATTAAGTTAAAAGCTTTAAGATCATATAATAATTATAAAAAATATTATAAGATCTCTATTTTATAAATTATAATTAATTAAAAAAACTATAATATTATAAATTATTAATTTTTATAAACTTGATATATAATATTAACAAGTATTTGTAATATTTTTTCATCTTATATATTCAAGATGATTTTAATTACTAGAATATAAATATATATTTTCTTATTTAAAGATAGTTTATTAATTTAAATCTTGTTAACTTTCTTATTATATATTATATAATCAAAATAATATAAAAATAAATATTATAAATATTTTTTCTAATATTATATATAATAAGCAAAATTATAATAATATTATTTATATTATATAAATATAACTATATAAAATTTATCATCTAGTAATATATAATTAAATAATCTTAGGTATATATAAAAAAATAAGTATTAATTATAAAAAAATTATTAAGAATACTATTATTACCTATTCTATTTCTGAAATTATTTATTATATTAATTATAATTATACTAATAATATGGAAAAATAGATATTTTGAATATATTAGTACTTTTCTCTTTCATTATAAATCATCTTAATAATTCACTAGAATTTTATTACAATAAATTCAAGAGAATAATAATAAAGAAATATGAATTAATAAATGAGATTTTATTATTAGTAATAATTAAAATATAATTTATTATATGATTAGTTCTTTTAAATTTTTCAATTTTACTAGATCATATGATAAATGATACTTCTATAATATAAATTTATTAATAATCTATTTTTATTATATAATTTAGAAGTATATTTCAAAATTATCAAACTTGATAACAAGAAATGAATCAATTCAGAAAAAATAATTCTTAACTTTTATCAAAAATATATTTCTGTAATTAATTTAAATAATAAGATTCTTGAACAGATATATAAATTTTTCTATTTTATTCAAAATTAATTATAAATACAATAATAATAAAGAGAAAGTCATTACCAAATCTATAAATATCCTAATATAATTATATATTTTTTTATCATTATTTGCTTTCATGTTAATATATTCTTCATCAATATATTTTTAATTCTAATAAGCTATTAATAGTTAAGATTTGAAATAAATTTTAATAGATATTTGAAGAGATTGATTTTGAAATATATAAATATCATGAAATAATTAAGCTATCTAAGCTAATTCAAACTTGAATGGAAAAAGAAGTAGAGATATGAAGACTTTAAATTGGTGAACTTATGAAAAGGATATAGAACAAGTATTAGAAAATTGAAAATAAAAATGATATAGAAGCAACTAAGATATTTATTACAAGTTTAGATAAATTATTGACTCCAGTTTTTAATAAAAAATATTAAATTTAAACAATTACATATATATAATTATTATTATACATTTGCTATAATTGTCTTCGTATTTCTTAATTATTGTTAATTTTTTGTGTTCGCTAATTTTTAATTGTCTTGTTTGTTTTATTATCCGATAATATGTTCAGCCAATAATTACTTTTCACATGATACGAATGAATCACATTATACGATCCGGATCGAATTATATGTCACGTGAAACTACCAGGCTTTAGTGGACCCCTAATTTTGGGCATATATACAGTTGCACCTCCCTAAGTGCACCCCCTAGTAAAAAAAATAAAAAGTGTGCATTTAGAGAGGGTGTGCATTTATAGAGGTCAAAATATATAGAGCTTCTATAAGCTGGGACCAGAATATACCGTGCATTTAGAGAGGAGTTATATAGTGTGTGCACTTAGGGCGGGTGCAGAGGTCTAACTGTATATCTGTATTTATATATAAAATAAATCGTAAAGCACAAAAATGAAAATTTACATTTTAAACATATTATTTAATTCCAATATATAATAAAATTTGAATTTTTTATATTATAAATCAATGATATCCGACAAATTCATTATGCAAATGTATTTATATGATCCTTTCATATGTTCTATTTTATTTCTCTATTTCTATGTGTTTAATTTTTGAAAAAAAGATGAGTATTATATGATTTCTTTAACCAATCTCTCTGGAGGTAGACCTTGATATGCAATACGATAGACGGTCGTAAATAATTTGTATCTGATTAAGTCAAAAAGTTTGTTAGTAAATGAATTATTAATTGTTAATAATAACCATAAAAAAGATAATTACTCGTTCTCAAGTCCTTTTCTTCTTAACACGTGATTGATTTCTTGAGCAGTGAGTGTTCCTTGAAGTTTTTGTCCTGCTAATAGTTCTTTTTCTAGATGCTCAAAAGGCTGTAATCGATAAAATAAAAAAATTATTCTTAAGAAATAAACAATATAACTAAAACCAAAAAGATCCATCATGTGAAAGTATTACCTTTCGTGTGATGACAAATGCTTCCGCCACTCTTCTATTTCTTCCACCATAACTAGTAGTGATAACATCAGCAATACCACAACTTTCAAAAAATGTTTCTTCCTTTATCCCCCTATAAAATGTCTGCACAAATTTTTTCATCTCCAATAGGCCAATTCGAATAATAGCCGCCTTTGCATTATCACCCAATCTTAGGCCATCAATAATACCAGCCGCAATAGCAACCACATTCTTTAACGCGCCACAAAGTTCCACGCCAATGACATCATCGATGATTCCCACGCGAAAATAAGGTGTCTCGAAGAGGCGTTTATAAAGTTCACCTTCTTCGCGAACACGGTATCCGATCGTGGTTTCTGAGAAATTTTCTTCGGCGATTTCATTGGCAATGTTCGCCCCACTTAATGATGATACATTGATATTTAGAGTTTTAGCAATTACTTCTGTCATTGGGCAGATTCCTGTTTCATTCACGTCGAAACCTTTAATTAGGGAGATTGCCTTAGCATGTGGGAGAATCTGTCCTTTAAGTTGATTGCAAACTCCTTTTACAAACTGGTGCGTTTTGCAAAATAATTAATAAAAGACGTATGTGGGATCACAACGATCATTATATCTAATAATTATTACCTGATGTGGAATAACAAAGACCAATATCGTAGCATCACGTACAGTCTCCAATAAATCTGGAACTGCTTTTATATTACTCGACAATTTAATACCGGGAAGATATTTAACATTTTCATTTTTCTCGTTTATTATATCTGTCAATTTCTGCCCATTAATAAATTCCTCATACACCCACATCTTTACTTCATTATCGAATTCCGGATATAATTGCACATTGTTTCCGATGATTTTTGCGATGGCTGACCCCCTGTATTAAAAATATTTCATTTTTAGAAAGAATATTTATTGGGTGATTGTTTGAATATTTATTACGTACCAATTACCAGAGCCTACCAATGCTACTTTTTCTAGTTTCATGGATACTGATTTATTTTTTGATCTAATACAAATTCTTCGTAATGGCGAAATATTTAAAGTATTTTTTAACGATAACAATGATGGTGGTAATGATGATAAACTTGCTGTTTTCAATAATAATGAATAAGATTTATTGTATTTGAAATGATTTATGCGCAAGAAATTATTTTTATTATTATTGAAAATGAAAAGACAAGAAATTCTAGGAAGGAAGAAACGTTGATGCATTTATATTCTTTTTTTAAATATACATGTAGTCATTATTGATCACTTTTAATAAATATGCCATCATTAGTTTGTCACAAGCGGAAAAAAAGGGATGTTCTCGTTGCTTTTTTTAGAAACAGTAGTATTTCCTCGGACTTTCCTCATGTATTAAATTAATTGAGTAAAGTATAATATGCCTCCGTTTTCCGGCTCTAAAAAATATACATAATTAACAATTTTTTTCGATCTAAAACGTGGAATTTTTAGATCTTTATTAATATGCATGTCTTTATATACATTTATAGTTATTGTTTTAGTCACGGCCGACTCGCGTAACTAATATATTAGATCAAATGTTTTGTATCGTGGAAATGACATCATCAGCATCATAAAGTATATTGCATGTACGCAAATCACTGCATTGTTTATGGTAAAGTAAGCAAATATTATCTAATATCGATATTGGTTAACATGTGAATTAATAAATTTATATATCGATATGCAATTTCAATTTAAAATACAAATGTGTTATCGGTATATTTTTTCATTGGCATTATGCCCGACTCTACTCCTGTGTGTAACATCTACATTATTATGTTTTAGATTTATCATCAACACTCTATTTTCTCTCCCAAAAATCTAATAATCTCTGCAGCAACGTCTAATTCAGCCTCAATACTATCCAATGCATGTCCTGTTTCTGGATACATCTTACATCGAATGTCAATATTTTCTCCATTTTCTTGGCTTTTTCCTTTTAAGTAATACAACCAATTTAGCCCATCGCCATGTGGAACACGAAGATCTTGCTCCCCGAGGCATAACAATGTAGGTGTCTTGATGCGATCAATATTTTTCACGGGGGAACGGGAGAACATTTGCGTGTATGTGCTTGGAAGGACGAGTGATGGTTGAGTAAATTTGTAAGGGATTGATAGTTCAGAAAAACACCTTTTTTTGAAATTTAGTTTTGGAACCGTTAGCTATTATATGTATATATGAGTTTATATGAAATTATATTACACTTACCAGTCAGGAATATCAGTAACAAAAGCCATTCCTTAAATAATATAAAGATATGATTAATCTTATAACTATCTTTATAATGATTCTTATTCTCACCTCCAATATTCAAAACTGGATTTCGTAAAACACATGCTCTATAAAAATCCTATAAAATATCTATTAGATCTTATACTCGAATAAAATAATACAAAGAGAAAGCTTTAGATTGTAAAAAAAACACTTTCTGGATATTTTCCAATCAAATGAGCAGATATGAATCCACCATGACTCCCGCCAATGATCACCACTTGATTTGGATCTGCTTGATGGTTATCGATCAAATATTTTGCCGTGGACTGAGAAAGAACATTACCAGTTAATTACAAGTCAATATTTCTATATCATAACAGATATGCAACAAAACAAAAACCAAAATACCTGAACTTCTTCAATTTCAAGTTCACCGATTTGTCCAATTAATGTTTCGATAGAATTCTGTCCAAATCCTAAGCTTCCAGTATAATTAACTGTGAATAAATTTTATTCAAAATGTAAATAGTGAATTCATAATTAATCTCAATTAATTAAATAACGAGAACCTTAAGAAGAACAAACCTTCAACAATTTGAAACCCAGCAGACACTAAAGTAGCCAAGAGAGGATTAAGTCCTGTAGTGGTTGTAGAATGCGGACCACCATGTGGATACACAATTAATGGGGGCAATTTGGATTGTTTGTTGATTTCCGAGCTATTATTATTATCATCATTTGTTGTGGCGATAGGTTTAATATGTATCATTTCGAGGTTAGGATTATCTCGATAAGGTGTTACTACGGACCAAGAAATGTCTGATAGAATAGGCGTAACTTTTACAATCATGAAAATTAGTTTTTTAATTAGTATTATTAATTAATAATAATCCTCATCGAATAAATAATAATTCATTAATAAAGATGTCGTGTTTTAATCGTTAACCTTCTTCATCGTTTGGTTTATCGATTGGTGTCCATGAGATTTCAAAATTTTTAGTATTGGAATTAAATTCATTCACAGTTCCAAGAATCTTTTTTAATAGATAGTTACCATTAACCTTTCGTGAGAATCAATCGATAGACGAAAAAAAAGAAAACCATGCAAAAATCGCTTACCAGTGTATCCAGTTGATTAGGCGCACTCTCAGAAACCACTACAAACTTATTCCAAACAGCAAACAAATTATAACTCTTATAATTAAGAGTTTCACTATATGACGAAGAAATATTGTGCACATCCCCATTTAACAAATTCACCGCGAGAACTGTTTTCCAGCTTCGCCAAATACTATGCAATAACAAGAATTCAGTATTTTCAATAGACATGAATGAGGATCGGTGCGGTAATTGATCGATGTAGAGTCCTGGGAATCCGACAGGATATGATGAGGTGCTTTGTGGTTTACTTGGATCGTGTATTATTGGTACAATGACATGATGTGCCCCGGTTTTAAAATCATACTAATTTAATTTTTCATTTTTCATGTATTGAAAGTTGAGTTTAATAAGCTTCGTCATATGTAAAATTTACAAATAACTTACCAAACGAAGTTCTGAACATGACCAGTGAGGTCCTCCTGCTTTATTACTTAAAAACACCTTTTTGATTGTCAATGTCACTAAAATTATTATCCAAATTTAACAAGAATTATTACATGTGAAAACACAAAAATATAATTAATACCAATAAATCGCCAGTGAGATTCAGTCTTGGAGATCGAGTGTGTTCAAGACCAACACTCAAATGTTCTAAATATATATTAAATATATTATAGTCTCGTCTAATATAATTAAATAAGACAATCAAACAAAAATATCATAAACTTGCCTAATTTAGATCCATCTAATTGACATTGATAAATTCCCGTTCTTTTTTTACAATCGATTATTAATAAATAGGCGAATTAAAAAACAACTTCATCAATGAAACATACAATCTATTATAGCAGTATTGAATCCCAAAACGAAGTGGATTTACAGTGTATCCCATGAAAATAAGAGATTTATCATTTGGCCCAAATAATACCTATTATTATTTGAATCATTTTGAATAATATTTAACTAATTAAATTTTAAATAATATAATATGTTATGTTTATCTTTAATATACATGCCTGACCAGGTACAATGCCTTCAAATGCTGGTAAAACCTTTACAAACCCGCCATTCCCTCCACTGCTATTTCGTGATGTAGATGTCGATGATAATGACGTTATATCAACAACCACTATAGCTGATTCACGTTTATTGGATAATTGTTCTCCCCAATCATTAACAAAATTAAATTTCTATAACGGGGGAAGGTAGAAGAGAAATCAATATTTTGGTTTTTTTTTTCTCTTAAAATAAAGTCATTATTTTTTTCATACTCGACTAGGGTCATCTGGCGCCTTACGTTCAGCAATGTACACAAACTGAGATTCGTTTCGAGACCATTGCAGGCTTCCTACTTGGGCTATCAATAAAAAGGGAATAATTATTAAAAATGCAAGATTCGATAGATTACAGTTTTCCGAATAAAGTAAAACAATTAATACAATCTCCATAAAAGTCGCCGTGATCATCTGTGACATCCAATACATGTAAGAGAGTTCCTTTTCGCCAGATCTAATCAATGATTACAAAAGTTTTGATCGAATTTTTTGATCGAATATTCAATCTGCCTATCATAAAATTATCTAAATGAAATATGCAAATACTTCAACAAATTTCTTTTTCCCCTTTTTGTTGTCATTCTCTATAATTCTCAATACAGCCAAATACTCTCCAGAAGGTGATATCTCTTGCTTTATCAGACCATCACCGAGGTCAACAACAGGTAAAGATGATAAGGGACTGGATATGTTTTTATTGTCGTTATTTACGGAAACAAATAGTGATTTCAAGCTTTTTCGTTTAATTTTACGAGTAAAATCTCGCTGCGAGAGCAGCACTTGTAAATTTAACAGAGTCAAAAAGGCCGTTTTTTGTGGAATAATTGTCACTTCTGTATAATTGGGAATTATAGCAAATGACTCGTATGTTCTAACAGTGTGATTATCTCTGATTGCAGAACTCATAATGTATTTTTTTCGTGAGATTTGTAAATGGCTTGATCTTGATTTACGATATCATACAGTGTATAACCTCTATAATCAAAAATAAAAAAATATTTGCCATTTATCACGTGTTTTTTACCATACATACATGATGTGTGTATAGTATATGTTGACTATCACGTAACACAAAATCATAATATATCACGTGCTTTTATTACATGTCTAATTACATAATGTTAAAAAAGGAAATTAATTAAACTAAAGTTTTTTTTAAAAAATTAAACATGACATTATATAGTACAATTAATTCTTGATCCTTTGCTAGTATTTTTCATCAAGCATTCTAATTCACAAATTATTACTCAATATCACTCTATATCTTACATAGTTTTAAATCTGTTTCTTTTAGCTATTTATTATTATAATTATATTTTGCATTCTTGATAACTCTCAAATTTAATATATTAATTACTATAGTAATTACTGAGACTTTTATCTCTGCCAAAGATTTTTGTTTTCAAGATTGATCACACTTGATTTGATACTTGTGATGCTTGTAATCTGCAATAAATTTCAAGATAGAATAATACTTGTCATATATATTACAACACAAATGCTAATATATTTCATTTAAAATAGATAGGTATGAGTGATCATGAGGAGAAAACTTTAGTTTATCAAAATATTGAAGAGTATATATTGGATTGATAAAATATTTATTCTTGATCTTGTTAATAGGAAAGAGAAATTCATTATTCTCTTCTAATAAGATAATAATATCAGAAGCTTGATATTTATAATAATATTAATAATTCTTATACTTTTTTAGATCTATTAAGTAGTAATATAACTGAGTGTGATTCTCAATCTATTCTCATGTTAGTTACTCAAGATTAACAAATAGTTTAGAGTTCTCATTAACATATTATATTATTATAAGTTTGTCATATATTTTATCTTTCCTTCAAATTTCACATAATCTCTCTTCTGAAAATTCAAAGTTATATTATGCTAATTTTTTATTTATAACATTATCTTGAGAATTTAGATATATTTTGTACTCATTCAAAAATAAATAATTCTAGTAAGCTTACCTAAAAGAGAAATTATATTATGTTCTACAGGATTATAAGTATTCTGCTTCAGAATATGTGTTCAGATAGTTAAATAGTCAAGATCTAGAAAATAAAATAGGTTGCAATACTTAATAATATTTTTCAAATATTTTGAATTCTCATTAGGTTTATAATTAATAAGAAGAATTTATATAAATCTAACTTTATTTTCTTTTAATATAATAGAAACAAACTGTAGATTGGTAATGAAACTTAGCAAATCTGGTATATGAGTCAATGATAACATATTAACAAAATATTTTGATTATACAAAAATAACAAGTTAATTAATTTAAAGAATATTATTTGAATTAGCAGGATTAATAATGAGATATACTAAAGATACAAATTTCATTTTGCTTTCTTTAGAAAAATTATGATTTTTAATTATCATAGATTCATTTATTATTTGAATAATCTTAAATATTTATCCTATTACAGGAATACCTAAACTAACTTTTATCTTGTTATCTTGAGAGATAATGAATGAATCACTTATGAAAAACTCAGTAAAAGCTTATGCTACTTTAATGAATATCAAGTAGTACTATTCATTCATATATTATTTCATATTGATTCTTGCTATTGATGCAAGACTAACTTTTACAGGATAATGATGATAATAAGTAGTAAAAGTATATTTATATTATGATTCTAAATATGTAAATAAATACTGATATGAGAGATAAATATTATATTTTTTTTAATACTTCATATAGATATTTGATCATATAAATTTTAATTATTATTTTTCTTCTTTTCATATAAGCAGTTTCAAACTTAATATAATCATAAATATTATTCTATAGATCTGGATATAAAATTATTACTAATAGTTATTCAGGTTTGTCATATTCTTTGATAATACTTTCTTTTTCAAGTCTTTTTTGCTTTTTTACTTTAAGTCTTGCTTGAGCTTTTGCATAATATTTAAATCTCTCTAGTTTTACTTTGCTCTTATTGATAATTTTCTTTTTTTCTTTAATTTTAGTTGTTAGTACTTGTCTCAAATCATCATTAAATATCTGTATGTATAATCATTTATACTCATATAATTGTTAACTTACTTCTTTAATCTTGATAATAATATTATTTTATCTAATTATATTTTAATAATAATATTTATCTCATTAAATATCTATAAGAAAATTTTTGTTATGCTAAATATAAATACTAATATAAAAGAATTTGTAATAAATATCAAAATTACAAGACTCTGATAGAACTAAATTATATAAGATAAGATAATAAAATATATTGTAACCAATTACTTATTCATATAATATAGTAAACGCAGTGTAATATATAGTATAGTCACAGCATATAGCATAGTAATCATTAATTATTACTAAATCAGATAAATAAATAAATTTATTAATTAATCTTATTTATAATTAATTTTATTTTTAATCTATATTATTACCCATATTTAGCCTTATTCAAATATTAATTTAGCTATATGTATCATATCTAATTTATAGTTTTATTAAATTAATAATTTCTTAATTAATTATTATTAATTTTCTTTTATTTCTCACTTTAACTTTGAATAACTTAATATTTTACTAATTTTAAATTCTTTATTATCATGTATTTAATATT